CCCCTCCCGGCCACCCTGCCCCTCTTCCTGCTGGCAAGCTGCATCCCATGCCCCCAGGCCCTGAGTCACCCGGGCCCGGTAGACAGCCTCAGTGCACCTTCACCCATGGCACCCTGCCTCCTCCCCAGGGCTGAGGAGACGGTTTCATTCATCAACAGACTTATCTGGGTGCCGGGCCCTGGCAGGAATACACACACACTCACTCACCCTCAAAACAACCTCTCTTGGTCTTGTCCTGGCCAGGGAGCCCCTGCATGAAGGCCCTGTCACCCTCTGTCTTCCTCTTCCCCACACACCCCCCCCCACTGCCTCTGCTTCGGCCTGCCTCAGGCCCTTTGCACCTGCTGTGCCTTCCACCAGGAACTTCCTCAAAGCCCCCTTCCCCAGGCACCCTCTACCAGTTCCTCACTTTATTTTCTTCAAGACCTATCACAGTCTAAATGACGTGCCACTTGGCTGCTGCATGCCCTCTGTCTCCCACTAGCATGTGAACTCCAGGGATTGGGACTGTCTTGCCCCCAGTGGCTTGATAGGGGATGACTGTGCACTCATTGTCTGCAGGTGAGGAAGCCCAGGCCCACAGAGGCCCAGTGCCTCACCCGGGGTCTCCAGCAAGGGACAGAGGTGAGAGCTGGGTTTTTCTTGCCCTGGCATCTTCCCCTCCGAGGACGTAACACTGTGAGCGCCCATCTGCCCCATATGGGCCAAGCCAGCAGGGAGGTGCCTGAGCCTGGGCCATCAATGGCCCTAGATTCAAATCTAGCTTTGCTGCTAAGCAAAGGCTGTTCCCTGTCAGAGCCCCAGGTCCCCACACATCAGAAAATGGGACTGCTTGCTGAAGCCAGGGGATACCCATGAGGGGCTCAGACACCAAGGTTCCAGCGAGGCCCTGGCTCCCCACACCCTCTATCCCCCCTCCTAAGTTTGTGGGGACCAGGCCATCTTCACTGTCCTCCACGTGGTCACAATGGACAACACCATCAAAAACTCCACAGGATGGCTCACGCCTGTAATCCCAGCTACTCAGGAGGCAGAGATCAGGAGGATCATGGTTCAAAGCCAGCCCTGGCAAATAGTTCTTGAGGCTCTATCTCAAAAACAATCACAGAAAAGGGCTAGTGGAGTGGCTCAAGGTGTAGGCCCTGAGTTCAAGCCCCAGTACCGAAAAAAAAAAAATTCCTACAGGTAAGTGGCAAGCCTGCCAGCTAGTGCTGTTGGGACACCACTGGAGATCACCTGGCTCAGCCAGGCCCAGAAAGAAGTTAGGGTACAGGTGGGAGGGTGGGACTGGAAGACAGAGCCAATGAGAGGCTTGGGGTCACGTGGGGGAGGGAGGTGAAGAGGCCTTCAGGTTCCAATGTAGGGGGGACTTTGATATCTCCATAATTGCTGCAGCTCTTGAGGCACTGATGTAACCTCTATGCCTCAGTTTCCCCATCTGGGGAAGGGGAGTGGTAGATAGCACCCACGGCCATTGAGTTCTTAGAAGGAGAAAGATACGCTGAGCACACAAACGGTGAGAACAAGTGCTCAGCAAACCACAGCTCATCCTCACTCAGCCTCACCCGGCCAAGGTGGGGACACCACCTCCTGGAAGCCTTCAGGGACCTCCCTGCCTCTCCCTGCCCCACTTTTCTTCCTTCAGAGCTCTCATCCCCACCTATCATTATCTTGTTCCAGTTAGTGGATACTCATTGTCCGTCTGTCCTGATAAATTGTCACCTCCATCCTGGTCACCACCTATTTCCAGCACCTGGTAAAAGGCGTAGCACACAGCAGGCACTCAATAAATGCTTGTCAGTAAATGAAAAGTAACCAGGGAGAGACAATGTCAAAAGACAGGAAGACAAAGCAATCTCAGCGAGGCCGAACAGCCGAGGGGCCGAGAATGCTCTTCAGGCATGCAGTTCTGCTTCCTGCTCCCACGCCAGCTTTGGCCGTACTTAGCTGTGCAGCCTTACACGAGTCACTTCCCTCTCCGAGCCACATGCTCGGCAAGAAAATGCAAGAACAGAAGTGGCAGCCGAGAGGCTGAGAGGCTGAGGAGCTAATGAGTTGGGCGAGTGTGGCCTCAGCCCAGGGCCCAGCTCCCGCAGGTCTAGAACTTTCTGACGCCCACTTTTCTCCTGGGGTAAATTGCCAAGCCATGGGACAATTGCATAAGACGAAGAAGTGAGGACGTATTTTGTCCATTTGCCTGTCCTGAGCTGGGTTTGGGGTCTGGGCTCCCCAAAACACAGTCGGCCTCCCACTAAATGGAGCTGTGGCTGACCAGGGGGACACAGGACCCAGCAAGTCATCTATGCCTGGGCTTAGGGACAAAGGGCTCAGTTCTCACTAGGACTATTGATTCCTCCAGTGTCCCTGGTCCCCTGGGCACATGCTGGGCTCCCCTCGCCTCCTCACCCCACCTGCTCCTTCTTTTCTCCGTACTTTTGTGCAGAGTGGTTCCTCTGCACTGCAAGCTCTCAGCCCTCACAGACTGGGAGCCATGGAGTTGGTGTAACCCATCTGTGACACCTCCCTCATCCTTTGGCACAGCCTGCTCCACGGTGCCCCTGCAGCAGGTCACCCAGATCACGGTCAAAGTCCTCAACTCGTGAACTCTTCCCCTGGCCCTCCTGGGATAATCAGATAGGCCTGGGGTCGGACCCCTCCTGCTGCTTCCCAAGGATGCCTGTCACTTCACTCGGGCTGGGGTGCCTAGTGTTGGGGCCAGACAATGAGCACTTAGGAAAAGGCCAGGGTCGGGGGCAGAAATTGCCAACTAGCCTCACCGCTCCAAACTCCCCCTAGAGTCACCGGAACTGGATAATGCCCAGATAATCCCCAGAGATGTGAGCAGAAATCTCAAGCTACTTGCCTGAGAAATGGGTGCACTGCCTCCGTGGCTGTGGATGTAAATGAAAGGATAGTCTTTCTAAACTGCAGCTCTCCCTCCAGCCCCAGAAAGATGGAGCCTTCTCCCCACCGAGGTGCAGACCAAGCTCTGCCCTTGGCAGGGTAAATCCCAAATGGTCAAGTCCACATGGTCTCACTGGTTTTGATGGAGGCTGTCAAGACTACTAGGCTGTGGGACTGGACTGGCCAGGGCTCCAGGGGCCCACCTGGCCAATTGTTGATCTGCCTTGGGCTTGGAAGAGACCTGGCCAGGGCCACCTGTAGGTCAGGTGAAGTGAGGTCATGTGGCACAGCCCTCCGGCCACCACACTGTCAGGATGGAGTTTGCCTCAGTCCTCAGTGCTACCACCGTGCTCTCCACCCGCCCCCACACTCCAGGCTCCCACAGGGAAAAGCTGTCCCCGTCCTCAGAAAGTTTTGTTGTTCTCTTGCAGTGCTGGAGATGGAACCCAGGGCCTGCTGGACCACCGAGCCTCAGCTCCAGCCCTGGCAAGGCGCGGCCATTAGTAAGTACTGTGATGAGAACCCGGAGTGTCCATTCTCAAGTCACAGCAGCTGCTCCCAAGATCCCAGCTCCCCAGGTCCTTAGCAAACCGGTATGTCCCTCCTGTCCCTAAATTGCTCAGCCCAGGGTGACCTCAACCTGTTCCTTAACTGCAGGGACCTGACAGCCTCACAACAGTGCCACCTTCCCAAAAGTCGTCATGAGGCTTAAATGAGGTGGGCAGGCCCAGGGTTTACCGGACACCGGCCCTGGCAAGCGCTCCACACACTCACACTGCTCTGAAGGCTGGGCTGCCGAATGCCAAGAACCTCCCAGCAAAAATAAGAGCGAGTGCTTATATAACACCTCCGTCGTGCCAGGCACCGTAGGACGCGCAGTGCCTCACGAGCCCCTCCGTGGACACCCTCAACTCTCAGGAATGCTGTCCACGGCTGGAGCCAGCTGGGGGCTGCAGTAAGAAGGGGCAGGGAAGAGAAGCGATCCCAGAGAGTCAGGGAAAATGACCCAGGCTCAGCCACCTGGAGCAAGCAGGTGAGACTGGGCCTGTGTCCACATCTGGCAAAGAGGGCAAGCCCAGAGTCTCCACCCAGTGACCAGAGTGGAAATGTAGGAGCCCTTCCCCCACCGCCCTCCACCTGGCCCAGGCTCTTGTCCCTGGCCTGGACAGGGACACACACACACACACACACACACACACACTTTGTAAACAGCCTACCCCAATACACTTACTCAATGCATCTGTCCTGGTGAGCTAGCAGGATCTAGACTCAAATCCCCCTTTCTAGTCACAGGCCTGCCTGGTCCCCAGACACAGTGCAGGGATCACAGACTTCCCTCTCCCTCCAAACCCAAGCCCGACATTCAGGACCAACCAGAGACCTGGACCTCCTCCCCAGGCAGGGTTCTCAACCCCACTTCCTAGAACACCCCAAAAGCCCTCCCCCATCTGCCAGCAGACCCTGGGGGAGTAGCAAGGGAGGAGAAAAACCAGCTGCAACACCCCCGCCCAGCCAGAGAACAATCCAAAAATAATGGCATCCCCCTCACACACAGCCCCTACACACCAGAGCCGGGAAAACAAAATCCCATCGATCCAAAGGAGGGGGGGGGGGGAGAAAACAAGTCCAAAGCCAACTACTGCCCCCAAAAGGCTTTTTAACCATTCTCAAAAAAAAAGTTTATTAAAAGTGTTCTGTCTTAATGCTCGAAACGGAAAAGATTCCCAAAATATACATACGCCTCTTTTCTCATAGAAATAGATTTTTTTTTATCATACAAAAAAAGACCAAAAAAAAAAAAAAGCCAAAAAAACATCAACAGCAAGAACCCCTTAGGAACATCTTTAAGCGATTACTCAGGCCGGGCTGACAGTTACACGTGGGTTGCGTCAGTCCCGCGTCCACGCGCTCGGCTCGGCCATGTTCACTCGGATTGCATCACGCCGGGCCGCCCGCCGGCGCCGGAGGGGACCGGGCAGAGAGCGGGGCAGAGTTCGGCTTCCTCGGGGCAGCGACACGGGCGACTCTTCCTTTAAATAACACCGCGGGCGGGCGGGCGGGCGGGCGCTTGCTTTGGACAAAAAATATATATATAGATATATAGAATAAAATATTAAAATTACCGACGGGCTCCCCGCGCTGCCAAGTGCCCCGGCGCCCAAGTTCTGACGGCCGGCAGGGGCCGCGCGCGGGGCCGCGCTAGCAGTGGCCGGAGGAGGCGAGCAGGGGCTCGGGCAGCTGCTTGAACAAGTTCCGCAGGGTGCTGAGCTCGCGCGACAGCTGCTCCACCTTCTTCTGCAGCCGCTCGTTCTCGGCCGTGAGCTCCAGGACCTTGTGCTGCGTCTCCAGGTTGCGCATCTTGGCCTTGTCGCGGCTCTTGCGCACGGCGATGTTGTTGCGCTCGCGCCGGATCTTGTACTCGTCGCTGTGCTTGTCCACTGTCTTCTTGGCCTTGCTCTTGACTTGCGCGGGCGCTGGCGCGGTCCCCGGGTAGCAGGCGGCCGGGGCCGCCTTGGCGTCGGCGGGGCTCGGCGTGCCAGGCGGGCTGGACGACGAGGACGTGGAGAGGCTCCCGCTGCTGCCGCTCGGCACCGCTTGGTAGCCGAGGTAGGCGCGCAACGCGTACGGGAAGCCCGCCGCCATGCCTGCGGCACCGCCGCCCGGCGCCCCGGCCTCCTCCTTCCGCTTGCAGTCCGCGGGCTCGAAGCCCGGCTCCGCCTTGAGCTCGGCGGGCGGCGGCGGCGGCGGCGGCGGTGGCGGCGGCGGGTGCAGGGGCGCGAAGCAGCCGGGGTGCAGCGCGCCCTTGGCGGCCCCCAGGCGCCCCAGGCTCACGTAGCCGTACTCGGCCGCCTTCTTGCAGTTCTTGCCCCCGTAGTCGTCGGAGAAGAGGTCGGAGAGGAAATCGTGGTGCTGCCCGGAGGAGGCGGGCGCGGGGGCGGGCGCGGGCGGAGCCGCCTCGAAGGTGTCCGTGGCCGTGGCCGGCGCCTGGGCCTGCGGCGCGCCCAGCGGCTCCAGGTACGGGCTGAAGTCGATGGCGCGCTCGTGGTCGCCGATGCTGCCCAGCTCGCCGGCGGGGGGGCGCGGCCCGGCTCTGGCCGCGGGGGGCGCCGCGGGGGCCGCCTTGCCGCCGTACGCAGCAGCCAAGCAGTCCGCCTCGTAGTAGAAGTTGGCCACTTCCATGGATTTAAAGGCAGGCGGCGGCGGCAGCGGGAGACATGCTGGGTCCCAGGCCACCAGGCGTTGCATGAACGCGGGTGCCCGGGCAGGGGGGCCTGGAGCTGCCCGCTCCGGCCGGCCCGCAGGTGGCGCGGCCTCCCGGCTCCGGGCTGTCGCCGCTGGGTCCCTGCCGCTGTCGCTGCTGCTGCTGCTGCTGTCCCCGCCGCTGCCGCTGCTGCCGGGTGGCCGCTGTTGGTGCGGGGGTTGGCGGCTGGACCCTCGGATGGGTCCCCCTTCCCGGTCCCGTGCGCGGCTCTGACTCGCTAAAGTTTCTCCCGAGCCCGGTTATTTATAAGGCGGCCCCTGGCAACGGCTGCGTCACTCCGTAAGGCCAGCCCCGGGCCCCTCCCGCGTCGCCGGATCGCGCCGACCACGGTGCCCGGGACCCCCGGGAGGGCGGCCAGGGGCTCGGGGGGTGGCCGCACGGGGCCGGGAGCGCGCCCTCCCGGGGGTCCCCCGGGCCGCTGGGGAGGGGCGGCCTCATGTCCCCTGCCCACCCCCGCGCGGCCGCCCCGGGATTGGGAGGGAGAGGGGGAGGTGCGACCCCGCCCCCGGACCGCCCCTCTGGGCGCGCGACGGCTCCGGGACGAGGGAGGCGGGGTGGGGGCGACCGGCTTGCCTTCCCCCACCCCAAACACGGCCGCGGCCCGCCCCCTACTGGAGAAGCCAGGGCTCCTGTCCCGCTGAGGCCAGCCCGCGTCCCGCCGAAGGGAGCTCCCCGGCCGGACCCTGGAGACCCCGGCTCCCGGAGAAGTGATCCGTCTCCTGGGCCCTTCCTCGGGCGCGGCCCCGCCCCCAACCCCCTCCCCCAACACACACACACACATCAGTTCCCCAACTCTTGGAAGAGATTCCCCGAAAGCCCCCGCGATGACACCCCGAGGCTTGGGGTGGGGGGAGACACAGGGGCGCGCTCGCCTGGAGCTTTGGCCGGGGTCGACCGCCTCCCTCCCCCTCGTCCCGCCCACCACACCTGCCCGCCCGCTTAGGCCACGCCCATTCTCCCGCCCACTCCAGCCCGGCCCGGGCCTCCCGGATGGTGGAAGCGGAGGGGAAGGGGTGGAGGTGCACCCTGTGCCACGCTGTGTGACTGTGGGTGAATCACGGCGCTTCTCTGGGCTTCGTGCGTGAAGATTGTGGTTGCTGTCAGCAGTAGTATTGTGCCCACCACAGATTCCCAGACGCAAGGCTGAAGTTTTAAGACCTTCTGGGCCTTGGGAACGTCACGGAGAAAGTGACCCCCACAGAGGGTACAAATGGAGGAGGGCACCACAGATCTAAGGTCATATGGCGCCTCCTGCCCCCCCCCCAGTCATCCCAAAGAAAAGCTTTTGTCCCTGCTCCCTAAGACCCATTTGCAAGCCCCAGAGGCTAAAAAAGCCACCTTTTCTGAGACTGCTGAGGTCAGGTCAAGAATGAAGGAGAAGGGACCCCCATTTCTACCAAGTCTCTACTCTGGGAACAGGGTGGGCCTGGACTCGGGTCTCTTTCTCTTCCTCCAGGTGGGAAAACAAGACACAGCCGGCGTTAGACCGGGTAGACGCCCGGGTGGGGGGCCGAGGCTCTGGGACACCTGCCTTCCCTGCTGGTGGGCCGGGTTGGAAGGCCCCATGCCTAGGCCCTGGGGCAGCTTACTGGTCCATCCTCTGCCACTCCCAGCCTGGCCGCCCAGGCAGGAGCTCCTAGCCTGCCTGGGGCTGACCCCTGGCCCACTGACCCCAACCCTGGCCCCAGCGGGCTAGTGGGCATTGCTCAACCTTCCCTGTTATCTGCCAAGCTGGGGTGACCTCCGCCCCCAAGAGCTGGAGAAAAGACATCTCCATGCGTCCTTGGGGGTGGGGGGCAGGGAGGGACAGGATAAGACACTAGCCCAGCAGGACTGCTTTCTGGCCTTCCCAGCAGCCTCTGGGCTGGGGAGGAATCCAGGCCCAGAGAGGCGTGGCAACCTCCCCAGGGCCACCCAGCCAGGCCTGCCTGCGAAGTGGGACACTCAAGGCCCAAATGCAAGGCTGCAGACTCTGTGAGGCCCTTCCTGTCCTCTGGCTAGTGAGCTTCCTTCCCAGCCTGTCTTGGCCATCATTATATGAATTCTCTTTGTCTACCTCAGTTTCCCCAGTTTCCCCAGACTGTGTGGCCATGAGGGCCAGCCCTAGCTGGGCCCAGCATGCTCTTGACTGACCAGTGAGTAAGCACAATGGCTGTTCCCTCTGGACCCAGGACACGGTTCCCAGACCTCCTGAGGTCTCAGACCAGCGTGCCTCCTAGATCCCCTCCCTGACCACTCATGGAGGACCCCAGGCCTTCGCCACCCCTTTCACTTCACAACAAGCCCCTTCCCTTCACCATCTTCACTATGACCAAGCACACCTCACCTGCCCTTCTTTCTGCCTCTCCCATGTCAGCCCTGCTGGGGACAGGTTTCTGTTCATTTTTTCACCACTGTTCCCCTGGTGCCTAGAACCGTGCCTGGTACACAGAGGTGTCTGAGTGGATGGAAGGGACACAGGTCTTCCTCAAAATGGCTCCTCTTTCTGAGCCTCGGCATCTAACACCCAAGCCTTTCAGGGTTCTGAAGACACAATGAGGTTCTGAAGCTAATTACAGAGTCTGCTGTGTGTCCTCAGCCTATCTTCCACCCTCTCTGAGCCACACTGTAAGCTCTTGGTGTGTATTAACTCATTTAACCCTCCTGGTGATTTGTGGAAGAGAGATCCTAGTACCTCCACTTTACAAATGAGGAGACTAAAATCCAACAGAGCCAGCACCTCTGTTTGAGGTCGCATTAAAGAGATGGGAAGGAACAGAGTCTTCCCGGCCTGCCTTTCCCTTTGGGTTTGTCATAAATTATAATAGCCTGACAGTATGCCCTATTTTCTGCATGGATAAGCTGAGGCCCAGGGAAGGATGGCCTGGGGTCACACGTGGGTGAAGGGGTAACTCAGAACCTGGGGACCAGACTCAACCCCTTCAGAGATCTATGCTCTCTGGCCCCCTTCGCCCCTGCCAGGGTCACCCCGAGTGGCCTGTGCCTTTGTTCCCACCGGGCTCGCTGCCCACCATGAACACCCAGCCCTGCTCCAAGGGGGGAGGGGAGCTTAGGCCCCCACACACAGCGCCGAGGCCCAGAACAGGCTTGAGCGGCTGTCAGGCCTCCAGACGCCTCCACTCTGGGTGACACTGCTCTCAGGGTGTCAAAGACTCACCTGGGCTGGCAAGATCACAAACCAGCAGCCAGTGGCCACACCAGCCCACGGGCATACTTTAATCGCTCAGTGTTTTGGTTACTTTTCTTTTTAAATGAATTTATTGCTAACATTTAGAAAGCAAGGGTCTGTACAGTTCAACCTTCCAACTTCTGCTTGGAAACCTGTAGCCCTGGGCTGGCCCCTGTGGCCAAAGGGCAGTGGCAGGAGCCAGGGAGGGGCTGCCCAGAGAAATTTCCTACCTGGATGCATGCCCTCCCTGCCCCTAACCACCCTGGAGAATCCCTCTCCCCAGAGGAGAAACTGAGGCCGATGCCCACCACGAACCCAGGGGTGACTTCTCTGATGACAGCAAGAAAGTTTGCAGCAGGACCAGAAATCAGCCCAAAGGTGGGACAATGGCTAGAGGGCCACCCACTGGCAGGTGCGTGTCTCCAGTGAGCATGGGATGGGGACAGGATGGACTTGCCCTCCTTGCTGTGGCTTTCTGGCCACTTTGGTGTCACCTCTGGGCCTCAGTCCCTGATCTATGAAATGTGGTGTTGTCCCCTCTCAGGGTACCAAACCTGCTGCCCTCACCGCCACCTCCTGACCCGTGCCAGGAAATCGCATGTCCCTTCAGTCCCATGAAGGCCTGGCTGTGGCAAGTCACGAAAACCTCACCAAGCAAGCACGGGGGGAAACTGAGGGTCACGAGGCTTAGCGCTCCCAAGATCACAGCAAGTTAATGCCAAAGCCAGTCTTAAAGCTAGACCACTTGGCTCTGGTATTGATTTGTCCAGCATGCCTCCCTTCTGAGGCCTCAGTTTCCCCACTGGTCAAATGAAATTGGCAGAGGTTAGACCCCCAGGGCTGCCAGGCCTAGACAGTCTTCAGAGACCCAGGCTGCCGTGAAACTTGCCTGTGTGTGTGCTGCCACCATGTGGCTGGACCTGGGACAGCAAGCATGATTTAACTGCATCCTTGGGATGCCCTAGTCTTGCTTCTCGATGTGGAGCGCCCAGTGCTGTGGGTATGACAGATGCCCACAGGACATGAGCAGGCCACCAAGAGGACAAGAATTGTCCAAAGAACCAACATGAATGCTTATTCGGGAGCCGTGGTTCAGACCCAAGAGACACACTCAGAAGGAACAAGCCACAAGTGATTGCTGTCCTCCTGGAGGAAGACAAACAGGCAAGACAAGTGGGTAGAATCTTCCCTGTGCAAGATTCGGGTAGACCCTGGGGAGAAATAATACACTGCAGGGGAGGAAGCCCAGGAGTGCTGGGGAATTCGACATTAATATATCAGAGTGGACCAGGAAGGTCTCACGGATGTGACGTTTGCACAGAAACCCGAACGAGGGAATGAGGGAGAGGCCACGCAGGTGTGAAGAACATGTACCTGGCGGGTACAAAGGTAGGTGCGTGCATGCTGGGCCCTGCCGCGTTACTGTGGAGAGGGAGGAGCAAAGAATCATGTCATAGAAACAGTGGAGCCATGTTGCACCAGGCCTTCCATGTCGTAAAGCCTGGCTTTTGCTCTGGAGATCAGGTGTTCTGGGCAGAGGTGGGGGGTGGGGACATGGATGGATGGGACCTGACTTTGTTCCAACAGGGTTTCTCTGGCTGCTGCAGGGCAGGGACTGTAGCAGAGGGCAGAAATAGGAAGCCAGTGAGGGCAGACAAGAAGGCAGGGGAGCAGGGTGGACTCGGTCAGTGTGCAGGCTGGTGGGTGTGATTGGACTCTGAGTCTGTTTTGAAAGTGGGTCCCTCAGGGCTGAGATTGGAGATCAGCTGCAGGATGTACAGTCACAGCCACCCACAAGGACAAAGGAGATGGCACTAGCACCAGTAGAAAATGCAGAAACTGCCCTGCATCACATTTACGACTTTTCTGGGCACAGTGCACACCCAGAGCTCTTGGGAGGCTGAAGCAGGAGGAGCCCTTTGAGCCCAGGAGTCTGAGGTCAGCCTGGGAAACAGCAAGATTCCATCTCAAAAAATAAAAATTTGCCAGTCATGGCAGCATGTGCCTACAATCCCAGCTACTGGGGAGGTGAAGACCAGGAGAATGGAGGTTCAAGTTTATCTCCTCTCAACAAACGAGCTGTGCATAGTAGCTTCACACCTGATCCCAGCTACTCGGGAGGTGGCAGTAGGAGAATCGAGTCCCAGAGTGGCCCCAGGGAAAGCTATTGGGAGACCCTATCTGAAAAATAATCTAAAGCAGAAAGGGCTGGAGGCATGGCTCCA